CAAATAACTTAATTTCTGGACATTTATGGTTTGATTTCTTTGTATGTATGGATCACTTGGGTTGTTTCCGACATCTGGTGAAAATTTCATGTCATAAACACCTCTAGTAATATATTTACTGAGAAAAATGTTGACGTGTTCAATACTTATTTTAGCCACTGAATATTTATATATATATATCCAAAACCAGTAGTTCCAGTTTGATCCTCAACAGAAAAACAGGGCACGGCTGATAYTGATCCAAATAGGCAACAGGGAAGCTGGTTTGCCTCACTTGTTAGATTAATCGCTCCGTCCCGGCTCCAACCCCCATGCATCCAGGCCGGCAAGTCCACCCCAGGCGCTCCGTCCAAACACGAGGGACAATCCGAGGGCCGAGGGACTCCATCCACATCCGCCACTCCACCGAGACACGCCGCAACAGCAGCAAGCCGGAGAAACCAGCCCAACCGGCAAGGTAGATGATATTTACCAAAGTTAGGATAACTTATGGTCGATGCTTGTATACACGCCATAGGACGCTTGTATGCTGTTGTTTTTCGAAAATGATGTCCGTCATTTGCGTCTTTGATCTTCCGTTTATGTAACATACAGAGTAACAGCAACACTAAAGCTGAGGTAAATTTGGTCAAAAACAGACCTGCAGATGCCTGTAAACCCAAATTGGATGTATTTTCCTGCAGCAATACTGCACTGCTACATACATCTGCCGCCAGCGCCGCCATCTTGGAATTTAAATGGAGGCGTGTCGGGGGAGGTGTCTCAGGTGTTCTCAGTTGCACATTCATTGGGATGTATAAAGGAAAGGTGTGCAGGAACCTGCGTGCGCACGGTTTTATACATCTGATTTTTTTTTTTTTTTTTTGTGCGGCGCACTTTTCTAAATTTGTCCATATGACAACTTTTACTGTGAAAGCTGTGCACTCCTTTAGGCATGAGGCCCTTAATTGACAGTACCAGAAGCTTTAAACGATGCTAACAACATCAGCAAAATAAGCTGTTTGACAGATAAAATTTGGCAATTTTTTCATGTGCACATACCCAGCTCTACTGCTCATCCCATAAATGCATGTTCCTTACAAATGTGGCACCATTTAAAATGGAGATGAACAGGCTTTCCAATAGAGAAACATTCTACCAAACACAAGTGGTTCATTTTTAAGATATTCTGTGTATATGCCCCGTAAAAATACCATCTACAGCAGTCTTTCCCAAAGTTGGGGTCAGGACCCAAAGTGGGGTCCCGAAACATCAAGGTGGGGTCTTGAAAAGATTTTCTGAATTAATTACATTTTTGCCTTAGTTGTTAGAAAGGATTTAGGTTAGTATATTTAAAAGGGATGAATGTAGTATAAAAATACTGGGCCTCATGCAAGAACATGTTCGTATTTTTATCCTAAATTTCTCTTACTTTTGTTCGTACAAAGGGTTCGTACGAACATGTCACGTCAGATNGCATTTTTTAAATTGTATTTTTTTTTCAGTTTCTTTGGATATTTAGCACCCAGCAAGGGATGAACATCAACATGGCAACACAAACTTTGCACATATGGAGTGAAATACCCCTATAAATACTTAGCCATTCTCTTGTGGATATCCTCTTTGATTATTATTTCTTTTTTAAGTTGGAAAAATCAAACTGGGACTAAATCAATTTCTCTGTTACAAACTTACTGACACATCAAGAAGATTTTCAGTACAGGCAAGGGGGGTGGGGGTGCTAAGGTGGGGGAGATGGGGTAAACAGAGCCCGTCCCATGACCCCTCCCTTCCACATTCCTCTTGACCCCTAGTACCTTCATTACCTCCTGTATTTCATCAACAGTAACTCATTTTGTTTGAGATAACTGTTGTTTTTGACCATTTCAAGCTAAATAATCTATTTGAATGTGATGTTGTTTAAACTGAGCTAATGTATTGCATTTTAGAAAGTCTGCATTTTGAATATTTTGCAGCTGCAAAGTTGTTCATTTTTTTTTCCATTTGAACAACCATACCAGCCTTTTTTGTTCCTTTTTTAAATAATTATATAAATATTGACTAATTTTACTGTCACAAAATCCAATTTGGGTTTTACATACTCAACAATGTGACCAATATTAAAATTCACATGTAACATAATAACACAATAAAAAGATGGCAATAATGCCATGTTGTACACAATTAGTTTACCATTGCTGTCAATGTATGCGGTTTGTAATAAATTGCGTGAATTATCACTGCAATGGAATCATTAATTTTTTTCCTGTTTGTTTCAGAGTGGTCCACCTGGACCTCCGGGACCACCAGGCCCTCCTGGCACTCCTGGATCAGATGGCATTGATGTGAGTATCCTGTGCAGGTTTGCCCAAAGAGTTCCCTTCACAAACAAAGCTCCTTATTGTGCAAACTGAGAGATGCCATGTAGTACCAGAGTCCTACCAGCAGATGGCGCCAATTACGAAAACACACGGGGCACAAAAGAGCTCTGTTCCAGACGTGAGAGGGTCTTTTGAGAAGAGACCCTGAGTTGTGTTTAGAGTTTGTGTCACGGTAATGTGATACAGTTATTTTAAGAGTTGAGTCGACTGGATGGTGGCGGAGAGAACTGTCTGGTTGTGTGGAGATAAAGAATTTAGGTTTGCAGTTTAAAACCAAGTGTCAATGTTTTTGTATATGTGTTCTTATTTTATTATTTTTTTTTACAAAGCACACATATAATAGCATAAAATTATCAAAAACAGTGTATTGACTTGTTTCTTAGTACCACCAGGACTTCTCTAAATAAATTATTATATTGTTTAATGTTTGCCCAAGTGGTTTCACAATCAGCTTAACTGTGGTATTGCAACACAAAATATCCGTGCTCAGGCATCACCTGAATGTCCCTTGATTTTGTCCATTTTTATAACATATTTTTAAATGGAACCTAATGAGTTTTACAAAGTTAAAGCTTTTTGAGTCATTTATGTCAGTTCATAGCTGGCAACAGCTCAGGGAGGTAATAGATTTTTATTTTTTGCCATTATTAAATGAAGTAATAAATGTATTGACAGTTTCTCCTTCTTACCCTTTTACTCTCTCTCTTTCTCTAGGGGGAGAAAGGGCCACTTGGACCACCTGGTCCACCAGTAAGTACTTACTGCTTTATTTATTTATTTTATTAACATTCGTGTAACATTAACCTGTGCTTCACCCAAAAACAGTTTTTTTTTCACAACTCTGCTACACGTTTTATTGTAGGGGCAAAAAGGCGAGCCAGGTCAGCCAGGACCTAATGGGCCTCCAGGGAAGAATGGCATTGATGTGAGTGAACTAATTGTTTGAGTATAAGACCACAAGACCTTAAAATCACAAGCTGATATGTCCATAAATACTGTAATTGTAATTTTAAAAAATGAACGAATTGCAGTTACATTTATTGAGTAAATATTGTATCCGTTACATGGAACTATATTTAACAGAAATCATCAGGATATATAAGTTTGGTTAAACGTTCTTTGTTGCACTAATATGTCTTGGCTATAAATCTTATACAATTGGAAAATTGGGTTAATTTCCACTTAAATTTTGCCACATTTGTAAGAAACATGCATTTATGGGTTTCCAGTGGTTAAATATTTAGTGCCAAATATAATATAATATAATATAATATAATATAATATAATATAATATAATATAATATAATATAATTCATATATGTATACGTTTTATTACTTTCTGTGCAGAGTTTAGGTAAGCCCCGAGCTTGTGAAAGCGTCAGGTGACCCTCATCAGTCATCCACTTTGCCAGCTGTCAAAAGAATATATTTGTTTTATTTAAATATGTTTTAATGTTTGTGTTGTTCTGTAAGTTAAAAATTGTAGTCATGTACAAAATGCTTTCATTCTTGAACATTTAAGATTCCTTATCAAATGTTATGGCAAGAAAGTGAAAGATTGATTTTTAAATCACCATAACTAGTTTATTTTGATAATATTTTGACTTCTATCAATACAATATAAAGTAAATTTCAATAATTTTCTCTTGACACTTCATTGAAAAAACAATAGATGATGATCATATCATTATATCATGGAGAGACACACAAATGGGTTCAAAATTATTTTGAGCTTTTTTATTATTATGTTTTTATTATTATTAATCTGATAGTAATTGTGTTGCAGCCATTTTGGGTCAGTCAGTGCATATCTCTGCTTCAGGCTTGATCAGTAGGAAATTAAAATGTCTTTGTCAAACGATCACGTGTTAACAAGCACACACACACACAAACACGCTGACATTCTTCTGAGATTTAGCCAGTAATCCGCCCTGGAATCTCACTCACAAGTAATCACCCAATTATTCACAAGCACAGCTTTAGCTATAATCAAAGGTGTGCCAAATCCGTTTTTGTAAGGTCACATGTTGCCTCTGGACAGCAGTGAAGTAAATGATGATTCCTTTCTAAATCATGCATAGTTAACATATCTCTGTTTATTTATGCCATTTTGTTTGTCTTTAGGGTCTGATTGGAGCAAAGGGGGATCGCGGTCCAATTGGGAGACCTGGCTCAAAGGCAAGTGTTTAAACCATCAGCTGATCAGATTATGTTGGTGTTTAAATGTTTGATGTTGGAACCGTGTTCTGTTCACCTTTACTCTTCTTGGTGATGTTATGAATTAGCACAGAAGCTCTTGTTTAAAAACGTTCAATAACATATTCAGTTCCACATTCCAAAAATCCTACTCATTTTCTTCCACATATGTGCAGTTGTAGGTCTTGGTGTCCTCCCAGTGATGTGTGACTCAAACACCTTCAAAGGGTGGCACCCAGACATCATCTTAATCAGATGCTTGAACCATCACAGATGACTCATTTTAATAGAGAAACACTGATTCTACTCTGAGCTCCTTATCACTAAGGCTGAGCCCAGACACTTTTCTGCTTTTCTGAGGAAATTCATTTTATTATATCTAAATAGAGTTGGAACACATGGACAAAGTATTAAAGCGAGATCTCTGCCTTTCACCTTCTTCTTCCTTATGTTGAACCAAACCAAAACCCTCAATAACATGTACGATAGGTTGCCTTCAGGCCAGGCCGCTCTTAAAAAAGAGATCTGGGATCTCAATGGGATTCGCCTGGATAAATAACAGTGAATAATACTGTGGATTAAACTCCAACCTGTCAGTTCCCGCCCTCTCCATCCTACCATCATTTGTGAACAAAACATTTTGATTTTTAAACTCCTCTGCTTGAGGGAGAGCCTCATCCCCAACCAGGAGTAAACATTCCACCATTTTTTTGTATATGTTTTCAGAACCATGTGCTCTGACTTAAAGGAGCTGACACTGTTACTTTTGCCACAGAATTTATAAGCTGAAGTTTCAACTAGTTCTTTCTGGTCAAATGTGCTGCTTTAACTTATCACCAACAACTGTGAACATCTTGTAAAACAGCCAAAAATTTTGCCAGCTCAAACGATATCCACAAGCAGTTGCTGCTGCACATCTGAGGGTCATTAGGTCCGTTTCTAAGCAATGTTGGAGTTCATCATTCCAGATAGAATGATTATTCACAAGTGGAAAACATTTAGGACAGCTGCCAGTCTTCCCCAGGAGCAGACATCTCACCAAGTTCACTGTGAGCTACATTTCAGACTTTCACTGACCTTAGTTGTGCTGAAAGTCTGAAATCAGAAAGAATAGAAAGTTAAATGAAATAGTTAAAAAGTTTGATTTGTTTTGGGGAGCTGTCAATAAATATCTAGCCTGGCTTAAACCAGACCCTGTCCTTCACTTTGCTTCGTACAAGGGTCTGGACTTGATGCATAGAGAAGTGATTCTTGCAGGAGGTGTGGCCTCTGCTGAAGCATGTGTGTGTTGTCGGTATGAAGGAGGCTAAGCTAAGAAGCTAAGCGGAAATCGCGTGTGCTGTAAACAACCCTACTGAGAGGAGAAATATACCGAGCCAAACGAGATGGCTGTAAATGAGAACTGATGCTTTGTCAGACAAATTTAATTTAATTTGGAAGCCTTATCAACACGGACTGACTTCATTCACTTCCTCCACTGCCGTATGCTAAAATAACTAGCAGACACTGCGCAGAACATCAACATCATTCAAAACTCCACCTTCTGTTTGCTGATTGGTCCAGATAAAATAAACTACAAGCTGACACTGCGCAGAAAATTGACGTTCTGTTCTCTGATTGGCCCGGCTAAAAATCTGCCAGCGAAACCCATCTCAATGGGCGAAGTCCCAGACGAAGCAGTGAAGGGAAACTAGATTTGAGCGGAACTGCTTTGGAAGGCAAGGGCCAGCCTTATAAATATCTATCTCCTCTCTAAAAAGAACACAGCAACACAGCTAAAGTTAGAGTTTAGAATCACAATATGAGATGCAGAGCAAGTGCAGCATATCGAGCATAACTACCCACTGCTAAAGACCCTGTCACAATATAATGTTTTAGACAACTTATGCCAAATTATGAACATTTTTTATGGCTTCTTTATTTATTTAACAGGGACTATGCATACAAAAACATAGAACAGATCAAGTCTGTAACTGATGCGTTGCACAAAGAGTATATAGCTACAGGTAATTTGCAACTCCAGTCCCTGGTTGGGCATTTCTACACAAAGTACATACAGTTTATGCATCTATATACACTATAAATACATAAGCATGTCTGCCAAGAAATTCATAAAATCAACCAATACAGCTTACAAATTCATGCAATAAAAATTAACAATAAAAATCATACAAAACATTAAAATGCATAAAAGTTAGAATTCTAAAACAAACAGTTTGAATAACCTTAGAACCTCTAAAATTAACCATACACATCCTCAGGTACTGTATCTCTCCATCCTCCCACAATAGCCAACACATGGTAAAAATTATCACTACAACACTAACTCACCAACACATACAGTCCTATACAGACGGTTCTCATCATTAAATCTAAATGCTAAAAATGATCACATCTTTGGTTTTCCTTTAGCCAAGATTTAGTCATGTGGATATTTTTTTAATTCAATCGTAGCTTTTATTTGCAGAGGCAATAAGTTCCATAATGTTGTAATATAACATATACTGTATCTGTGTACATATGTATGATCTAATCATTGCAGTATATATACGTCCAAAAGAGGCTTCCTGTTTATTTGTTTTATTTGATCATTAGTGTAGACATCTTCAAAATCAAACACATTTTTTGTAAGTTATCTAAACTGTCAGTGTGACATGGCCTTAAGCATGATTTCATGATTTGAGCATATGTGTTACAATCACATGTGAGATTGTACATTAGACAACTGATGCTTGACAAACTGTGCCAAGCAACATTCTCAAGCACATCCATAAATTAAAACAAAAACTAAATCTGCCAAAATTTACTATTTCTTGAGTGCATGCATTTTTATTTGTTTCTGCCTGTTATAATAATAATAATAGCTCAAGAACCAGAGGATATATATTTATAAAACTACCAAAAAGCAATAATTGAATGTGCCTGACAATCTGATAAACTTTGAGTCAACCTAGTTCAAGATGGTCACCACAAGAATTCAGTCTTAGCAAAGAGAAAAATGTATTTAACTCTGACATTTGTACAGATATGGAGCTTAAATATTAGGTAGTAGAAGCTGAGATTTATCCCTGATAATGTGGTCCACAAACTGCATTGATATCTTTGTTTAAAACTTTTCAAAGCATCAGAGTATGATATCCATTCCCTCAAATAATCTTTTAATCAAATGTTGTTTTTGAAAATGTAGAATACTGTTCACGTACCGGTGTTTTCAGTTCTAGATTAAATGAATGCATGCTGGATAATTACTGTTTCCTCTTCTCTGCAGGGTCAACCAGGTCCAAGTGGTGAACCCGGACCTCCAGTGAGTATCTCATCTTTAATTGTCAAGGTTTTATTAATGAATCAACACTAAATGAGATGACCTTTAACACAAATAAACAGACCCAGATGTGCATGTGTGTTCCTGTTTTAAAAGACTCTTAAAAGATTCAGTCAGATATTTGTCAGATAATTTAATTTACAATGATATAAACATATTTTATAAGTATATACAGTATCAGATTTATTTATTTATTTATTTATTTATTTATTTATTTATTTATTTATTTATTTATTTATTTTGAATGAATATATAAATTCATTGTATTGCCTGGCCTTACTTTAGTATATTTTTTTCTCATGAATTATTGGTCATGTTGTATGGGGGCTGTACAGGAACAAACAGGTTTCAACAGCTATTTTATGATTTTGGCTTTAAATTAAGAAGTTTGGCTGCCAAATCAAACGGGCCACATCATGGCTGTGGTTAAGGAGGACCATTGTGGAAAAAAGG